GGACACTGCTCAAAGCAATGGATACTTGAGAGAGAACCGTGTTGGAGGGCCTGTTACACCACTCAGAGAGACGGAACTAAGCCATGATTTTAGTTATGACAGTTAACGGCTTCAGACGGGGCTTAGTGTCACAGCTACCGTGTCCCTCAAATACCCCAAAATCGGATGGGTTGTATTTTAAACCGTTTGTAGCTATATATATATATATATTATTTATTTATTTATTTTAAAATAATAAGTCATTTTATTGATTTGAACGTCTTAAACATTTACAGTGGCTTTGTGAATATCTACACATGACTTCACTGTAAATCAGCTTCTTTGTATTTGTCTTGAGACAGTTTCTTTGTGAGTGTGTTGAAGTTACAGCTGTGTCAGAGGGGACGTACAGAAGAAATGCACCGCTACAAGCATCCTTACCCTCCTTGGCAGGACCAAGAGGACATTTACGGAATAGTTTCTACCCCCTGCCTCTACTGAGGGGCCCAGGATGGGGGAGGGTAAGAGGAGAGCACCAAGCAGCACGCTACTTCTGAAGCGAATAATGCCGAGTGTGGCTTGTGCTCTGCTTTCTTTTCCCCTAGACCCTTCTCATCCACTCAATCTATTATTTTTGTCTCCCTTTCTCCTTAACTAGATTTATGCTAATCGACCAGTCTATTTCTGTCTTCCCTCATTTTCCACCATTCTCTCTTCCTCTCGATCTCCCTCCCTCCCACCCTCCGCTCGCTCCCTCCGTCTCAGAGAAGGCAGGGCTGCAGGGAGTCTGTGGCAGTAGCAGACTAGGGCTTGGCTCTCTGCAGCTCTGATATGTGTGTACCTGGAAGATCAGACCAAGGCCTGTTTTGATGTCTGCTTTCTGCTTTAGCAGTCTGCAGCCTCCAGTGGACAGGATCCCTGCCATGTTCTGACTGACAGAGTTTGGCTTTCTCATCTGCTCTACCGTGGCTGGCCATCTCTGAGCACTGGCTTTGATTTAGCTCACCCCTAAATCTGCTGCTCACGCCATTCATATACTGAACATGGCTGAAATCCATGTCTTTTATGTCTACGTACCATTTTATTCTCAAAGAGATGCCGTTCACATGGATACCTCTGTGAAATGATAATCCCCTCTTTATTATGGGCTGCATGTCATGCGAGTCTGTTCTCCATCATCATGGGAACAGTAACCATGTCATACTGTCATTCCTACCCCTAACACATAGTAACCAACAAGAAGTCATCTCTCTGAACTCTTGGTAGCTAACAATTACCTGAGGTTTCAAACAGAGCAATACGATTTGATAGCTAACCTTTCATACACAGGACAGGAATGGAATCATACGGAGGGGACATTGAACAAAGGTTGTGATCTAATCCAACCTTTTGAGATATTGAATTGAGCTCTAACAACAGATAGAACAGCAGCTCCAGCCTCTAGCAGCAGGCAGATCAAATGGAGAGAACACACTGGACCTTCCACACCACAGAGAGAGAGAGTGAGAATCAGCAGACTGGCTGTACACACCAGCAGGGTGCTGCTAGCTGGACACCCTGCCTGGAACAGTCTGGGAAGTCCCCTATTCATTCATAGGACCACTTTAGGCCGTGCCTCTACAAAAAAAAAGTAAAACAGAAAAATACATTTTCAATTTTGGCTACGTATTTATTTTCTTGTTGATTTTATTTATGGACATATTTCTAGTGGTAGAGGGGGACGTTAGCTCCATGTGAAGTAATACGATTTTATTAATGTTCCATAAAGCCCAGCCCTATGTTGGCACAGGTCTGTCAGTCCATAACTCAAAAGTCTGTGGTATGCTATTTTAATTAGTGTATGCATGTCTTTGACGTTGGAATGGGGCTGAATCTGAGAGGAATTTTCCTCAAGATACCCTCTGCACTGGTCAGAGGGAAGGGGGCACCAGAGAAAGAAATATGGAGAGGAGGATGGATATGCGAAAGGATATCTACAGATACAAAGTACACAGATCCAAGAGGGAACACGCAACCATTCAGTTTAGTGAAGACTTGTTACAGTTGGAGAGGGAAGAAATTCCTTTCGTCAATGCTCTGATGACCTTCAGTCCCTGCCCTTCTGAATGGATGAATACTGGGCCATTCTTCAGAATGAACTGGCTCTGAGAATGGCCTTCCTCTGAGCTCACTGTCTCTACGGAGCACTCCATAACCAGTTGTGTAAATCTGGAAAGGGGGAAGATTCGGACCGTATGAAAGGGGCTGAGACTATGCTTGAGTTGATCCTCTTAAAAGAGGAAAAAACATAATGAAGTGGGACTGATGTCAGAAAATACATTGATGAGATCAATAGTGACAGTAGCAAGATGATGTGAGTAGTGTTGTATCGCTGTCAATGCCAGAAATCAAAGCACAAACTCAGAATGAGCTGGTTTTAAAACTGAAAATACTCTTACTATTTACTAGTAGAAGTCAAATCAAAGGCTACTGGCTTTTCCAGCTATAGTATGTTTGCTTACACAAGATCTTTACTCATTAATATTTAATTTCACTTTTCCGGTCACACTTAGAATAAGGGTTAGGGTAAGGGTTAAGTTTGGGGTTAGGATAAGGGTTAGGGTTAGTTAGTTAAAATGTTACTGATAGTTAGTCTGTAGATGTTCTACAGACTATCCAAATAAAGTCTTACCCACTTTCCTAATTAGTAATTACTGTACACGTGTAACATATTAATATTACATGAGGGGAGGATAGTTGCATTAAACTCATTTTCTTTGAACGTGTAACATATTAATATTACATGAGGGGAGGATAGTTGCATTAAACTCATTTTCTTTGATCTCCCATCTCTTCCTCACTCCCACATCTATTACTAATACACACACACACACACACACACACACACCCAAAGCTGGATACTGGCACTTGCCTGTACTGAAGAGTCCTGTTGATATGGACCAGCTTGAGGGGGAGAAAGGGAGTGGGTGAGGGGGAGAGTTTGCTAGCGGTGGTAGTTGGAGAGATCTCTGGTCTGGTGTGTTTATAGGACACTGTGTCTGCCAGCGGAGTGTTTAGAATATTCTCCTCACTGCCTCCTTTTTACTGCTTGGACTGGAGGTCTGTGTGTACACTATTCTAATGCACAGTAGTAGTTTGTCATACAGTGGAGGTGAAAGTAGCCGATCTATTTGAGGAAGGGAAAATTCCCTGTGTGGTGATGGATCTCTACTAGTGGGTAGTTCCTCATTTTTCCCCATGTCCAGAGATTGTCTGATAACAGTAGTTTGGCCCGGTTTCTTGTTTTGGATAACAGGTTGTCCATCATCGTTCTTCTAAGAACTAAATGTTGTTTTACAACTCAAAAGATGTGATTGTCTCACAGTGAAGGATGAGCAGGCTGATTAAGCACTGTCAGACATATCATCCTTCCCCTCCCACTCAAATACATGGTCTAATGAAACACAAGAAGCTGTCCTGCTCCCTTTTAGTCACATCAGGGGTTTGTGTTCCACTTGGCTGACTGTCAGTGTGGATGAATGGAGGCGGCTGTGGAAGTGTGCTAAAGCGTTTGAGACAGAGGTCAGCCTGCTCTCTGGGTGTCGGGGAGCTAGTCTCGCAACCGTGTGGAAGAATCATTGTCTGCTCAAAATAGGCCTGTGCTGAGTCAGTGCAGTAAAACACCCCTGGTCATTGGAAATTGTACAATCGAGGTCTGATAATGTTAGTGTTCCAAGACCCTTGCATTTAAGGCTCAACCTTGACTTTATTGTGATCAGCTTACAAGACCCATTTAGATCTTTGTCAGCCATGTTTGATTCCCTGCCTCTAATCCAGTATTTCTCAAACTGGGGGTCCCGAGTGTGAAACAGACAGTATTTTAATAGACTATATACACTGAGTGTACAAAACATTAGGAACACCACCCTAATATTGAGTTGCACCCTTATTTTGCACTCAGAACAGCCTAAATTCGTTGGGACATGGACTCTGGAAACTGTTGAGCATGAAAATTCCAGCAGCGTTGCAGTTCTTGACGCACTCAAACCGGTGCGCCTGGCACCTACAGTACTACCATACCCCGTTCAAAGGCACTTCAATATTTTCGTTCCCATTCTCCCTCTGAATGGCACACATACACAATCCATGTCTCAATTGCCTCAAGGCTTTAAAATCCTTCTTTAACCTGTCTTCTCCCCTTCATCTACACTGATTGAAGTGGATTTAACAAGTGACATCAATAAGGGATCAAAGCTTTCACCTGTCATGGAAAGAGCAGGTGTTCCTAATGTTTTGTACACGCAGTGTATATTTGTATTGGAGATTTATGTCTTTGCCTATTCGATCTGGTTACTAACACTGACCTGCGGTACTGCACCAAATTCTTGTCAAAAAAACATCTGTGGTTCAGAACCGCATCTTGACTGTTGACCAGTCATCAGCATGGTGGGCGCATATCCAGATTAGTGACTAGAGAGCACTCGTTTCAGTCTGCTACAGATGCGTCTTTGACAGAACAATGGGCTGCCTGCCGATTTTTCATTGATCATTTTCATAATTCAGATCACACTGCTTTCAATAATTATGGGATGAAAATGTAACATTCTGGCGAATTTATTACGATATTTGTGAGGAAGAAAAAGGCTACAGACAGACCATGCTTTCCATCCGATCCTGCTCTGGACTCCAGAGAAATGACATGATATCCCTAGTTGATATTGGCTGCTAACATGAATTACATTCAGCTCAAAATGCAGGTGTAAAACAGTCTTTCTTTATCTTGCTTTTTGAAAATGCATCACCGTTAGCTATAATGACAGGCTACATTTGCGCAGAGATTGTTTGCGTGTGCGGGGGTCTCGAGGTTTGAACCACTTGCGGGTCAAAAAGTTTGAGAACCACTTCTCTAATCCATGCAGCCATCTTTGGTTTTACAGGAGCCTATCATACAGATACAATGTCATGCGAGTGTCATCCATTATCTGTAAATAATGCTGATGTAATCTTAACTAAACTAACCTTCTTCCCTTGCTCTCTCGTAGGCGGGAAGTGATGGCGAGAGCATCGGGAACTGTCCTTTCTCCCAGAGACTCTTCATGATCCTGTGGCTAAAGGGAGTGGTCTTCAATGTCACCACAGTGGACCTGAAGAGGTGAGTGAGGGAGACTACACGCTACCACGTCACACTAGCTATCTTGCTCACTCAACCACCACGTTACACTAGCCTTCTCACTCACTCCACCACCACGTCACACTTGCTAGCTCCTCCACCACCACGTCACACTAGTGCACTCACTCCACCACCATGTCAAGCTAGCTCCTCCACCACAACGTCACGCTAGCGCGCTCACTCCACCACCACGTCACGCTAGCTCCTCCACCACAACGTCACACTAGCTGGCTCCACCACCACCACGTTACACTAGCTAGAGCACTCACTCCACCACCACGTCACGCTAGCTCCTCCACCACAACGTCCCACTAGCTGGCTCCACCACCAACACGTTACACTAGCTAGCTTCTCCTCCACCACCACGTAACACTAGCTAGCTCCTCCACCACCACGTAACACTAGCTAGCACCTCCACCACCACGTCACACTAGCTAGCTCCTCCATCATCACACTAGCTAGCTTCTCCTCCACCACCTAGTAACACTAGCTAGCTCATTCCCCCAGAAGGGATCAGCCTTCTACTCTTCCTCTGCTCCTGGAGGGCCAGGGGAATGTTCTCTCTCTCTTCTCTCTCATTGCCTCCCAGAGCTTTTCTGGGCTCTCCACTAACACTTTGATCCAACCCCACCTCAAACATTTTCACCGCCCTTACTTCTTATTTGGTTTTCCCATGACCTTTCCCAACCCGGGGAAATCTGGAAAATAAACAAGCTGCGTTCTGGAGAGGCTATTTGAGGTTGTAATCACTTCCTCCCTAGATTTGGGGGTAAATTGTATTTTTCTTACTCTAAAATCAAAGCAAAATCTAAAAGGATCAAAGCAGAATCTAAAAGGATCATCTTCCCCTCCCAAAGTAATTTGAACACTATTTAGTCTTGGCTGAAACTGCAGCAAACTTCCTTGCCCATTTTCTGTAGAAGGCTGCCTGGCAGCTCCTTACCCAACCATTATTTTTACATTTTAGTCATTTAGCAGACGCTCTTATCCAGAGCGACTTACAGTTAGTGAGTGCATACATTTTCATACTGGCCCCCCATGGGAATCGAACCCACAACCCTGGCGTTGCAAACGCCATGCTCTACCAACTGAGCTACACGGGACTATATCCCTCAATGCATCATCTAAACACTTCCTGATTGTTTTTCCTCTTCCCAGGCCAGGGCTGTTGCCATACAGTATGTGTGATTATTTTCAGATATAGAAATGGACTCTTGATTTCCATGGGCCTTTCATCATTGCTGTCTGACTGACAGTATAGTATACTGCAGGCACTCTGATGAAGTGTTGTAAAGGGGATAGCTCAGCCATGCAGATACTTATGCATCGCTTAGAATCTCTTCTCCTGAGAAAGCTCAAACACTGCTACCTCTGCCAGGGTTGGTCCTGTGGGTAATCTAGAGTTGGAAACAAAACAAGACAAGACTGGGTAGTACACAGAGCAACCTTCTCTTTTACTTTTGGAGGCACCGGGATGTTGTGTCTTTGGCTATCTGTGAATGTATTTGCACATGTATCTATGTCTGTGTGTGAGGGTGTGTAAGACGAAACGAGCTTCCAGAGGTCTTGTAAAAGGCAGTGGAGGGTGTCCGCCCACTTAAGTGTCTGTTTTCCCCTCTTTTGTCAAACATGTCTTTGTTCAGCTGTTCTGACCACATACTGCTTTGGCCTTTTTTAGACGACTGATAAAGGGTTCACTTTTTCCACACAGTAGTGTGTCAACAGAAAGAGGCAAAGTATTGCACAAATATGTCCTATTTTATCCCTTTTTATTGCTGTATGGAACTAAAGGACAGTACATTTTATAATCTTAAGTTTTGTGACCTTGCTATGGAAAACTATTAAAAAAGCCTTTTTGGCTCAATTCTTTGAATAACATATTAAAGCATTTTTATTTATATTTTTCAGAGTACACTTACCCCCTCCCCCTGTTCCTTAATGATGCCATGGGGCGAGGGTGCTTCCTGTGCTCATGCCAAAGGGTTGAGGTCACTTCCTGTTTTTGGGGGCCCCTGTGACTAGTTGGTCTTACGAGTCTGTTTCACATCTCCCCTTGTAGGGAGACCTTAATCACTGTACTTCGCACATAACATTGCATGGTGACATGGCCTGCAAGTGAAGCAGTCTCTATATATAGATCAGTGGTAGGCAGTTCTCTGCATCAAAGTTAATTTGCGGCAAAACTTTTTTTTGTGAATTGGCTCAGACACGACAAACCAGATACAATAATTTTGTTTTTTATGATTTTACTTTGAAATTCATTTATGTATTTTTTTGTTTGATTATGAAACATGACTCAGGGCTTTGTGTTGTTGATGGGTCATTCATCACACACTCATTATGTTCTGTGTGTTCATCATATCTCACCTCCCAGAGACATCTGGAACAAAAGAAGCCTGCTCTGAGCACTGCGGACAGAAGAATGGACACGGACACATGCACAAACTCACAGGCGCATACATCACCCCGGTTGAAAATAAAGTCCAGCCCAGGGTGTCTGAGGGGGGATGGCTGTAGAGGGATAGAGTGGTCTGGAACAGTCTAGCATGGAACTGGGACAGGGAATTGTGTCCTGTCTATGGGCCACAGCCCACTGATCTGCAAAAGCAATAGAACTGGGCCCTGGGGGAGACACAGAATAATGCTTTAATGATTGTTGATTATTTTTAAAGACTAGATAAAGACTAGATGGATTATAGGGATATAAAGGGATAGATTAGTGAGTAATCTGTGATGGCTCAGTTTTGTAGTATAAAACTTTATTATCCCCAGGGGGAACTTGGTTTTGCAGCAAAGTCATCCATACAAACAAGACAGACATTTCAACAACATGAAGGAAAGGGGGATACCTAGTCAGTTATTCCTACTGAATGCATTCAACTGAAATGTGTGTTCCGTATTTAACCCAACCCCTCTGAATCAGAGAGGTGAGGGGGGCTGCCTTAATCGACATCCACGTCATCGGCGCCCGGGGAACAGTGGGTTAACTGCCTTGCTCAGGGGCAGAACGACAGATATTTACCTTGTCAGCTCAGGGATTCGATCCAGCAAGCTTTCAGTTACTGGCCCAACGCTCCTACCCGCCAGGCTACCTCTTAACACAGTATAAGATATGCATGCATTTGGCTGATTTTGAGTATTTATTAGTGCGTTGTGACATGCCCACTAAATCCCCTCTCTTCTCTGCTCCCCAGGAAGCCTGCAGACCTCCAGAACCTGGCCCCAGGCACACACCCTCCTTTCATCACCTTCAACGGGGAGGTCAAGACCGACGTCAACAAGATCGAGGAGTTCCTGGAGGATGTCCTCAGCCCACCCAAGTGAGTCGTCTGGTCTGGTTGGCAACGGGCTGTTACACCCACTAGGCACTTCACATCACACTGCCTCCACGAGTAGATACCTACGATACAGTATACACTCTGCTTGTCAGATCTAACCAGGTGTGTGTGTGTGTGTAGGTTCACCAAGCTTGGCGCCAGACACCCTGAGTCCAACACCACTGGGATGGACATCTTTGCCAAGTTCTCAGCCTTCATCAAGAACTCCAAACCAGATGCCAACGAGGGTGAGCTTCCTCTCCCTACACAACAGATATATATTATACACACACACAAAGTTTAGTTCCAGGTTACTACTCAAAAGTCAGTGGACGAGCAATACTCAGAAATTGAGTCACACTAGTGGCGCAGGAAGAGTTCTGTGGTTGCTAGGCAACAGCGGTAGCCTGAGGTGATTGGTGGCTGGGTGAGAGTGTGGGTCTGACACGGGAACACAGTGCTTTTGTTCTCTGGGGTGGCCTCTCTCTGTCCCCAGGCTCATTCCTTCCCCTGTTTCCCATGTCACCTGGCTGGGCTGTCTAAAAAAACATCCAAACAGCCTGGTAAAAACAACAGAGAGAGATGGCCTGGACATGAGCTCAAAGCACCTCTCTTGTCTTCCCTAGCTTTGGTTTAACAGCCATGCCACAGCTATAGATGATAAATTGCCTTATAAAAACTAGTTGATAACACAACAATCATATTGTGTTATGACCATGGGAAGACATGATTTGTACAAGACAACAGATGACAGTATACTGTAGCTTTGCCTCAGTCATATTGGCTAATGTTTCTCTGTCTGTATGCCATGTTAATCTGGGGTCAGCTGTTTTATGACATACAGTATCAGTTCATGTTGTTTGGTATCTTGGATGGTATGGTTTCTATTCGCCACCCTGCGGTAATATTGATCCATCGTGATGGTTGGCTTTGAATTCCTTCTGGGCTATGTCAACACTACTGCTGACAGTCATATCTGAATGATAAGCATGCCCTATTTATAAGACTGTAAATGTAAAACACATGCCTTGTCACATTCTCTCCAACTGGCTACATACGCTGCATTCAAATCAGTAGACTTTGCTCAATAAACCACAATGAGTCCATCCCCTGCTATCTATGTTGGCTGCATGGACCACACCTTATTTGGGGGCTCAAGAAAATGCCAAAACTGGGAGCGAGGAATGTCTGAAAGTATTTATGCAAGGCAGCTCTAGTTCTGCCATCTTGCTATGCAATGCTGCCCTCTGCTGTATGTTTCCTGTAGTGTTTGTTTGGAAAGGGGTCCAGAATATTCAACAATGCAGGCAGGCTGGTTTGTGAATGCTATAATGCAGGTGACAGTTGTTGCGATAGTGTAATGAGAGATGATAAATTTTCCTTTTTCTGCTGTAGGTCTGGAGCGTGGGCTGTTGAAGACACTGCAGAAGCTGGATGAGTACCTGCGCTCCCCGCTGCCTGACGAGATCGACCACAACAGCATTGAGGACATCAAAATCTCCACTCGCAAGTTCCTGGATGGTGACGAGATGACACTGGCTGACTGCAACCTCCTGCCCAAGCTGCACATTGTCAAGGTGAGACTGAGGATGTTAAACAGGATATTACACATACATTACAGCTGAGTTAGCAGAGTCCTTATAGTCCATGAGCCAGACCCCCAAATATGGCTCTTCGGGCTCACTTGGGGTGCCAATGTCTCATAGTGATTTCTGTGAAGGTCTATGTTCCTGGAGTTGGAAAATGTGTAATAATAGTGCAGCAAGTGGAGCTTTCTCCGGTTATCACTTTCTTTCATCCATTCCTCCTTCCCATTAATTTTTCCCTATTACAGACAATGTCAGTATACAATAAGTTATTGCTCACGTATACCCTTTAACCATATATAATTGGAAAGCTTTGATTCACAGCTATCCATCAGACACATTTTCTGAATGTTCAGGTCAACAGAACTTTGACCTTTGACCTCTGGGGTACATATCATAATTACCTTTGCTTTAAAAAGGAAACCCTGATACATTTTAACATTGTTTGACAAGTGATTCTGAAAATATAACCAACTTTGAAAGCACCAGCTACAACTATTGTTTAAAAATCGCCCATATTATGCCATTGACATTAGAATAATGGAAGCTTAGCCATAGCATTCCATATAGTGGGGCAACTATGTTTTTGGATTGTAACTTTGCTGATAGAGGCACCAAATTTCACACACACAGTTAAAACAGTTTTTTTTTAAAGATTTGTAGATACACAGAAGTATTTTTCCAATATGGCCACCAAACAACTCAATGGGGTCTCGTTGGATACATTTTGCATGACCATACCTGTATTAAATAGAATACACAACCAAATGAGCCAGATGTGTGTGTGAGATGTTAAGACGTTTTTGAGGGAGCGTGCAATTGGCATGCTGACTGCAGGAATTTCCACCAGAGCTGTTGCCAGAGAATTTAATGTTAATTTCTCTTCCATAAGCTGCCTCTAATGTCGTTTTAGAGAATTTGGCAGTATGTCCAACCGGCCTCAGAACCACAGACCACGTGTAACCACGCCAGCCCAGGACCTCCACATCCGGCTTCGGGGGGATTTCTGTCTGTAATAAAGCCCTTTTGTGGGGAAAAACTAATTCTAATTGGCTGGGCCTGGCTCTCCAGTGGGTGGGCCTGGCTGCCAAGTGGGTGGGCCTATACCCTCCAAGGCCCACCAATGGCTGCACCCCTGCCCAGTCATGTGAAATCCATAAATTAGGGCCTAATTAATTTATTTCAATTGACTCATGTCCTTATATGAACTGTAACTCAGTAAAATCTTTGAAATTGTTACATGTTGCGTTTTATATTTTTGTTCAGGGTATATGTGAGCAATAACTTGTTGTATAGGCCAGGGTTTCCCAAACTAGAATACAATACAATGTTTGACGACATAGTGTGAAATGCTTACTTACAAAATTGGTTAGGAGCCCGTACAACGGCAGCCATCTCCTCCGGCGCCATTATTCCCCAAGTGAGCCCGACCTACTATTATAGTGGACTATTATAGTGATCACTCATCAAAGCTACCTTTGCTGATAAGGTAGCACAATGCTGGAATGCTGGTGTTTGCAAAACATCTTATGCATGAGTATCTTGGTAGCGCATGCCATTCTGCTACTCAAGTCATGTTGTACCACTCTTGGCCTATAGAGGGACGGGTTCTCTAAAAGTTTGTTCTGAGACTAACTTACTTCATCAATGTCCCCCTCCATCCACAGGTGGTGACCAAAAAGTACAGAGGCTTTGACATTCCCAAGGATATGACTGGCATCTGGCAGTACCTGCAGAACGCCTACACACGCGAGGAGTTCACCAACACCTGCCCCAGTGACAAAGAGATTGAGATCGCCTACCAAGACGTGGCCAAGAGGCTGGTCAAATAGGCCCATCCCACATCCACGCCCCCCTACCCCTCCCCAGCACTGGGACTGGTCTGTTCAGACACGAGAAAGAACTATGGACTCCTCAGTTAAAGCAAACCTAATGCATGAATCTCTTTGTTCCTACTTTTCTCTTTTTATTTTTGGAAGATCTCTTGAGTACATGAAGAAGCTCAGAAAGGTCCATTGCTTTTGTTTATTGCTTTTTTGTTGTCTTTTTTTTAATGATGATTGTTTCGAGGCGTCTGACTGGCGAGGATGGTCGAGATACCTGCCAGATTGGACGCAGGCTGGTGTGTATCCGAGCTTATCAGTTTTGGAGGGCCATCAACACACACTCCTTATAAAGTGGCCTTCCGGCTGACCCTCTGATTCCACACAGGAATATGGTCACAAGCGTTTTTTTCTGTTGTCTGTTGAATATTGATTTGCTTTTAGGCTTGCTATGATAATGACCATTACAAGACTGATTTTGTGTGTTGGCTAAGGAGTTGGTTTAAACAGTGTTGAAAGCTTCAGTGTTTTTGGCTCTAGAGGGTAAATGAGGGCAGGTTTCACTGCATGTAGTGCATTAGACGCTAGGCCAAACCACAGAGTTTGACGACATAGTGCGATATGCTTCATTTTACTGTTGCATTGCTTGAGTCAATTGGAATAACTATAATACAGTTAAGGCTACCTGTTGTCCATGCTCTGATACCATTTACTCCATAACCTTGTATGTGGACACATGGGTGCAAACATCCATGTCAATTATGCTAGCTGAGCTCAGTCTACAGTAGGCTTAGAGATGTACCTGTACCAAGTCCTTAGATGACATGTTTTCAGCTCAGGACAAGGGAACCTACGATGCATGAAATATTAGATAATATGTAGCAAACAAAACCAACCATTTGGACTTCTATGGGAATACAAACTGTCCTTCATCACTGCGTTGCCTCATATCACTGCTCCATATAGACACTGACACTCTTGGCAGTAAAGCTCAATTTGCCCAAAAATAACATTTTTTTCTCTCCTGTAAGGTATGAAGGGAAGTCTTTAGCTTGTGTTGTGCTGGTAGCAGTGGTAGTTTATATTACACTTCTGCCACCAAAAAGGGGACATTATTCTGGTCTCACTGTGGATTGAATGACTCCTGTTATCTAAACTAGTGAAGTAAATGAAAACACACACTTGCCGTCTCGCTTTCTGCTATAGCATACAGAAGAACCCCAATGTGCGATCAGGCAGCAGAAAAGGTGACACTATATTTATGAGAAAAGGCATTGGGGAGAGGAGAATGGTAATGTAATGACCATCATTTAGGATTTCCTTTTCTCATTATTTAGAATGCTCTCAACGGTAGTGAATGTAGTATTCTGTCATAGTTTCAAAATGCTTTAGTGTGGATAAAGCAAAAATATATATTGGTTTGTTTCTTCTCCCCATGTTTTGCCATCCTTTCAGACATTTGTTGTAATACAAATTTTATAAAAGGATTTGTAAATATTTGTTTTGATTATTCAGAATAAGCCTTTTTTTTTACCTGCTTGGGTTTTAGTACTAGAAGACATCTCCTCTGGCCTTATTCTTATCTGGCCTCTTGCTCAGATGGTTTTCAAAAATCACAACAATTATGAAATGTGTATGTCAATTTCAGAAGAAAAGATCCAGGCTATGTCATGGCTTTGTTTTTAAACAATATTGACATTATTGAAATAAACCTATTATTGGGACTCTGGTTTGTGGGCGTGATTGCTGGGGGTTGTTCCAGAAAGCAGGATCAGCCAGCTAACTGTCCCAAAAATTCTAAAACAACTATATTTTCGAGGAATATAGACTTGAAATTGGCATGCTATAATTTACTCATTAACCAACAACCCATATTCAAGAGAAGTTTAGCTTCCTAAATGAATCAGACAATCAAGATGTATATTTGACTGCTTTTCATAGTTAGCTGGCTAACTTAATGATCCTACTTTCTGGAACACCCCACTGGACTAATGACCTAGCGGCCTACAGTTACTGTGCATTTCCTTGTGTTATGTGCAGTGGTGTAAAGTACTTAAGTAAAACTACTTTAAAGTACTACTTAAGTCGTTTTTAAATAGTAAATCTGTCATTTACTATTTATATTTTTTGACTACTTTTACTTCCCTACATTCCTAAAGAAAATATTGTGCTTATTACTCCATACATTTTTCCCTGACACCCAAAAGTACTCATTACATTTTGAATGCTTAGCAGGACAGGAAAATGGTCCAATTCATGCACTGATCAAGAGAGCACGTGGTCATCCCTAATTCCTCTGATCTGGTGGACTCACTAAACACATGTATCTTTTGTAAAAACTGTTGGAGTGTGCTCCTGGCTATTCGTACATTTTTTAAACAAGAAAATGGTGCCGTCTGCTTTGCTTAATGTAAGGAATTTGAAATGATTTGTACTTTTGATACATAAGTATATTTTAGCAATTACATTTACTTTTGATACTTAAGTATATTTAGAACCAAATACTTTGACTTTTACTCAAGTAGTATTTTACTGGGTGACTTTCACTTTTACTTGAGTAACTTTCTATTAAGGTATCTATACTTTTTCTCAAGTATGACAATTGTCTACTTTTTCCACCACTGGTTACAGTATGTGTTATTGATGGTAGACAGAGGAGCTGGACTAAGACCAGTTTTTTAACTAACTGATCTATTCATAGTTTTCACTATAGTGGAATGAATGTCCAACCCATCCTTCCCCCTGAAGACGCCTTCAAATTGAGCCTTCAGCTTCATTATGTTTTGGAGTCTGTCTGCTTCTTATTCTCCTCTGTTCCACTGCACAAACAAGTCAATTCTACTCGCAGATAATCCCCAAAGTTGTGCAAGCAGGAAGAGGTGTGTGGGCGTACAGTTGGGTGCCCTCCAGATCATTAAAGTATTGTGTTTCACTCCCAGACATTCTCTTTTTTGGCTGAATAGCATTGCCACACAGTCTCTCCTCATAACTCACATAGAGGAAATCCACCCAGACGTAAACAGATGGATGGACTGGAGCTGTGTGTGTGCGTCTGTCTGTCTGCCTGTGTCTCTGTTTGACCAAAACAAGGCTGGCTATCATTTAGAGTCAAACCACACACTCATTAGGGGGAGGTTGGTGTAGTGTATTAGGGTAATTGTGTAATTTGGGTGAGGGAGGGGTTGTTGTGTGTCCGAAATGGTAAGCCTGTGCTGTGTTCCAGTCTCTGCTCTGCTCTGGGTGAGAACAGGGAGGAAGACCAACAGGGGGAGCCAGTCACCATGATCTGCAATGGTCTTCTCTCCTGAGAGACAATGCCATGTTGTGAGTGTATCTGTGGTTACTATATGGTCATTTGAATAGTGTTAAATTATGTTTTTGAGCAAGTGGTTGAAAGGATAAAAAAAAAAAAAAAAGGCACTTAAGACAATTGTTCAGCCAATACCCTTGTTCTTTAGAACTGAATGTCTTTTGTTTATGTGTTATCTATTGTCACCATAAGAATCCAACAGAAAAAAGATATTTTGCCATTTTACACAATTCATGTTTGTTAGCATAGTGACTGACTGGTTTATCTGAGAGCACAGTAAGGTGTTATGTCTGTACCTGGCATTAGACCTTATCCAGGGCAGTGCCAGCACAGTTTACACGTTCCCCACAACACCCATTTATACAGATGGATAAATATTTACCCTAGTAAAGTACCTCACTCAAAGGTACATAGTGATGTCCCAACTGGGCTTTAAACCTGCAACCCTCTGGTTACCTTAGCACTCCTAGCCCTAGAATGGGATATCAGGTTGCTGATGATGCTTTACCATGTGACCATGTTTCACACTCTTTGTTTGGTGAAAAATGTAGGTTTGTCACAAGATTGTCTGTAGTTAGGCCTAATCTTATGTAAGACTTTGCATGGGAAGGCAACATTAGGGGATAGCAGGCCATCTTAAAAATCTACCCACTTCTCTATACTGAATAGAGTTGAATTATGTTGAGTCCAATTTAGTTTGATAGAGCCAGACAGTCTAAAGTGGATTTATACTCTCGTCTTGAAGGAACAAAATGCCATTCATAGTCATTATCTGGCCTTTCGCATCCCATGACTCCTGATGAAGAACAGGTTTATATTAGAGGCATGGAGACTGGTGTTAAATTAACTTTTATGGACAAATATTATTTTCATGATCGTTTTTGCGCTGCCAGTTTGGCTGCCAAAAGCTGTTCACCGTTGATTTGTGCCACGGGCCGCGATACAAAGCACAGTGTTGAGCTTTCACTGTAAAGGCCCAGGCTGTCCTGTTGAAAAACGTTAACGCACCCCTCACACGCACCAACCCACCCGAGACGCGAAAAGCGTCCGCTTCTGGAAAGGCGGGCACGCGGTGTGTTGTTGTTCTTGGAAGGAGACGGGGCAGAAACATTCCTCCCTGACTCCAGTTCTGTAAATCTCACAGTCCCATAATGCTTTCCATGCACTTTATCTACGCTGTACATCTTCGGCAGCGTTGGCTTTATGGATACACGGCGTCTGCGACTTGTTAGCGAAAGCAAAGCGCCGGGAGTTGGACATGTTGATCCTCCAACAAGGTGTGTTTTTCTATCTGGCTTTATGAAAGTCATAAGCACCATGTATCGTGCTCAGTTGACTTATGTATTAGTTTTTGGCTGTGTTAGAGGCCTTGTCTGTTATTATCCGCATAGGCCATAAATAGCAGAGGTATAGGCCTTTTCCCCTGGGGGGTTGGGGGTAGGCTAATTACTGTATGTCTCTCTGCTGTGCTGCTAAGATCTTCATATGAAGTATTTCAAAGTTTTGATTTGCATGTGTTTTGGTTTATATCAGAAGTCAATGTTTTATTATTGGGATATCAGATGTTAACTGCAGTTGACTGACTGGTTACATGTTTCTTCTGATGGTTGACAGTTTCTGGCAATGTGTCAGTGAGTGAGTGACTTTTCTACATTTACAGGCCTGCAGTCTCCCATTGAGGACAATGTGCCAGTGGCTC